TCTATACATTTTTTAATAAATCGTCCGCCATATTGAATCCGCCATTTCGAATTTTGGAAATTTAATTTAATATTCGAGTTCAGTGACGACGAAAATCCCTAATTACCAAATTTCATTGAAATCTAATAAATATGGACTAAATACCAAGCTTCATAAAAATTTATACATTTTTGAAGAAATCGTCCGCCGCATTGGATCCGCCATTTTGATTTTTGAAAATTGAATATCAATTTCGAAATCAGTGACGACGAAAATCTCTGGACACCAAGTTTCATAACAATATAGAAATTTTTTAAGAAATCGTCCGCCATATTGGATCCGCCATTGTGAATTTTTGAAATTTAAATTAATATTCGAAATCAGTGATGATGAAAATCCCTAAATACCAATTTCATTGAAATCTGTCAATACATATGGAATAAACTTTTTTTGTCGTCCTATATTGTCGATTGGTCCCTATGTGCGTCGTCAACGCGTAAAGGCCCGCAAATCTTCCGCGAAACCTTTCTCTCGAATACTGGGAGAGCCGCCTCATCGGATGTTGTCATTCTCCATGCTTCTGCGCCATTTACCAGCACGGGCATGATGAGTAACTTATAGAGTGTGGTTTTCGTACGTCGAGAGAGGACTTTACTCCTACTCAGTCCAAGGTAGCACTTGTTGGCAAGAGTGATTTTGCGTTGGATTTCCATGCTGACATTATTATCGGTGTTTTTGGCTGGTTCCGAAATAAACGAAATTCTCCACTTTCTCGAAATTATAACTATCAACAGTCGGGGAGGTCTTTCCCAATTCTGACGGAGCTGGTGGTATTGCTCAACGTCATTTTACACAGCCGTATGAGTTTTGAGGGGATGCCAAATTCAGACATAGCGGCGTATAGGCAACTCCTTTTAGTGCTGTCAAAAGCGGCTTTAAAGTCGACAAATAAATAGGTGGTGAGTGTCGATCCTTCTCTCGCGGGTCTTTTCCAAGATTTGACGTATTGTGAATACCTGGTCTATGGTGGATTTCCCAGGTCTAAAGCAACACTGATAAGGCCTAATCAGTTCATTGACGGTGGGCTTCAGTCTTTTCGCAATACGCTCGATAAGACCTTGTAACCTATGCTTAGAAGGCTGATCGGGCATGCGTTCATCTGACCATATTCTGCATAAGAGTTGATGCATGCACCTTATCAACTCCTCGCCACCGTACTTGAATAGTTTAACTGGTAGGCTGTCATCTCCAGCAGCTTTGTTGTTTTTTCAGCCGCGTTATTGCTATTCGTACCTCGTCATAGTCAGGCGGAGGAACATCGACTCCGTCATCATCGACTGGGGGCTCGGGGGGTTTCTTCTCCACAACTTTCCGTGCTGCTACCATTCAGTAGGGTGGAAAAGTGTTTCCTCCATAATTTAAGTACGTTCTGAACATCGGTAACTAGGTCGCCATTGTTGTTCTTACAGGAGTACGCCCTGGCCTTGAAACCTTCCGTAAGTCGCCTAACTCTCTGGTACAATTTTCGGGCATTCTTCCTGTCGGCCAGCATTTCAAGCTCACGTATTTCGGCCTCTCTTCTTATTGCGGCAAATACGTCTCGCTTCCCTCTTCGGATCCATATAGCGGTCCCACACAGCGCGCGTTGCGCCCGATCGCCGCGTGGCCCTGTAGGCGGCATCTTTTTTCTCTGCAGCTTCCTGACACTTCTCATCGTCCAGTTGGAGAAAGAGAAAATTTGAGCGAATTGCATCTGTATGTGTGATCAGAATGAGAGAACAAGTATGTTTGAGTACTCACGAGTGTGAGACCCCATGGCTGCCAACTTTCCTAAAAGCCCCAAAACTTGGGAAAAATCAAGAATATAAGTATTGTTGTATTTACCAAAACTAAAATAAAAAGTGACCCACTAATTACGATTTTAAATTTTTATAGAACTAATTGGAGCTTCACTTTAATTCAATCGTAATATATATGTTATTTGAAATAGTGTATGTGTATATAAACATTTTCATATCGAGAATAAACTGCACTAAATTGGCACTGAAAATTGCGGGAAAAGTACTTAAATAGTAGGTATTATACATTTCTCGAATGTTTTTATGGATCGTCGGCTCAGCTAACATGAAAAAATGTGCATGTGTGCTCATATCGAGCCCTAACCGCCAAAAGGGCGTAAGCGACAACCTGTTCGATTTTCTGTTTTTGACGGAAATCGATTACCTACCACCATACGCACCAGCTGTCAAAATTTCAAAGTCCTACGAAGTACCGTTACAAAGTTATAGCGAAAGCAATTTTGGCTTAACTGCTTAATTGTACTCTGTTTACATTTTTTGTGCCCGCAGTGTCGGTTAAGCCTTTTCTCCGTGAACAATTTTTCATTGCAGAGGGGAATTGTTACATTTATGTGTGAAAGTTTTGAAGTGCCTCTATTTTACAAGCTTTTATTTCACTTGCTCTGTATGTTTTTTTAACCGACTTCCAAAAAAAGGAGGAGGTTATCAGTTCGTCGGAATATATATATATATGTATATATTTTGTTTTTTATGTATGTTACCGCATAACTTTGGACCGCGTCAACCGAATTCGATAATTCTTTTTTCATCGGAAAGGTAGTGTCTCAGAGGTGGTACTAATCTGGTTTAGATCCCATAATTGGATCATGATATATATATATATATATATATATATGTTTTTTTTTTAAGTCGATTTTTTTTGCTAAAAATTACTTGTTTTTTTATACATACAAGGAGAACGCATTAGGGACACGAATTTCGATATGATACGATACCATATCGATACCTTTGGCATTCGATACCGATATTTTCTACTCGATAGTTTTAAAACGATATTTTTTGGAATCGAGGACCAGAACCCTAGTATCGTATCGAATGTCATAAACTCACATTTCAACACTGAGGGAAAAAAATTTTAGAATTAAAAAAA